TATCAGTATAACCATCACCTACCGACGACTACCGATCATTATCAGTAGTCGTCTATTATCAGTATAACCATCACCTACCGACGACTACCGAACATTATCAGTAGTCGTCTGTTCTTGATAATAAATTTATCCGGACATTAACATCATTGTAGCTTGAGAGACTTTCTAACATTTTTCGGCCTGTGAAAAAGTGATTTATAATTTGGACTAGTTCCCGTCACTTAATCTTCTTCTTTAAGATAAGTCTGGACAAAGGATTCTGCCTCTCTTATCGAAAAGAGCTCATGGCAGCACTTCACCACCTCTTCATCTCAGAGCATCTAAGTCATCCTCTCTATCTTCTACAAAGCCCTAAAACAACAGCACAAAAAACCCAGAAGAAGCCTTCAGTCTCAGTTTCTCCTTCCCCACGCTTCAGAACCAGAGCTTCTTCCTCAAATAAACTTCCTGTAACTCGCCCACTTCCTTTTCTTTTCCCTCTTCTTCTTCTTCCTTTGATTGAACTAGGGTTGTTTTCAAATGCGCAGCATTCGAAGCGGAAAACCAACAAATCCGGAAGATCGGCAAGGCATTTGATCACTATCTCGACTTCCTGCGGGAGATGGCAAGGCCGATGGAGCAGCGAGTATCTTCTCTCTCTGAGAGAGCTTCAGCTCGCCGAGTTGGCTGAGGATGGAGATAAGAATGCCGACATCCTCGTGAGCCTTTCCATTCAAAAGGTTGCCCTAAACCCTACATGGACATTTTATTTTCTGTTTTTGTAAACAAATTGGCGTGTTCTGAAACCCTAAACCCTAAATCGAGAAATATTTGATGGAATCAGTCATATTTTGTTCCATGATATGGTGAATTTCAGCTCTACATAATGCCTAAAATATATATGAATTCCTCCTGTTATTATTGCAAAAAACAACTCAGGAAATTATGTGATTTTGTCAGCACACTGGTTTTGGATTCTCAGTGCATGGAAGGATCATTACATCTATCAAGAGAAAATGCAGCTGTTGCTTCTCATCAT